CTGACGGTCATTAGATTGTTTAAGACGTCACACGATATTTTTTTCGATAATTTCTCTCTCGAGAATTGTCTGATGGACATTTTGGACTATTTTCTCTCCTTTAACTGTCCAACATATCTACGATGATTCTTATCAATATTGTTGTTGTTTGCTAATTTCTGTTGTTTCGTTCAATTAAACCAATGCCGTTTAATGAAATCTTTATTCCTTCATCTATTACTGGCTCAACAAGAGCACAATGTATATCATGTCATCGATATGTATGCACTCGTAGTTTGAAAAAAAAAGAATCAAAGGTTCACTTACAGTTGCAGGAAAACTGCTTTTTTCTCATAAAATAAATTCTATATTTTTACATAAGAGAATATTAATAAATTCCAAGCACAATTGCATATGCCATTCATGTGATGTTAAAGATGTAACAGAATTATTTATTCCAATAAAATCAAGTACGAATGAACAATTATCAACGTATTGTGAGACCTTATCATATACAACAACAGATTTTAAACATGCATTACATTCGAATATTCATCGTATATCTTATGAATTATTGAATAATAAACAATGTGAGTCATTCAGTAGATTAACAAAATCTCAAATTCAACAACTAGCAACAGAATATAACTTACATGAAGAAAATATTTTCTTATTTTATACAAAGTGTAATAATGATAATAGTGATCTTCTGCTTGGTGAAATATTTGGCATTTCAGATAGATCTATTTCTCTTCTCTTTAATCAGTGCATTGAAGATCTTTTTAATAACTTAGTTATGGATAAAATGGGTCCCACTGCATGGGACAGAAAAAAAATTGATACACATACACCAATGTTTTCAAAAGATTTATTACAGGTCAACATTAACAATATTGTAGTTTGTATGGATGGCTTTCCTATATACATCGAAAAACCTGGTGATTTTGCATTACAAAAATTAACGTGGTCATCACAAACTTTACGCAATTGCATTAAATTTCACTGTATTACAACTTTAGATGGCACGTTCGTTGGTATACAAGGTGGTTATGGTGCAACAGGCCATAACAATGAAGAAAGTATTATTAATTCATTAACAAATAATAATTATGGAATTGATAATGACGATGATGATAACATTTACCATAATCATATGACTCAAACTTTTTTTTTCAAAAATATTTTCAAAAATAATGATATTTTGATACTTGATCGAGGTTACACAAGAATGGAGAAAAGAAGATACCAATTAAGAATACCATCATCAATTGATAAAAGCAAAGCACAACTGTCAATCAAACAAGCCAACGAATCACGATTAGTCACATGTATGTTTCTTTTTTAAAAGTTACGTTTCTGAAATAAAATTATGCATCATTATTTGAATCCTTTTTCTATAGTTCATCGAAATGTTGTTGAACGTGCCATAGGACGTTTGAAAAAGTGGAAATTTTTGCAAAATAGAGTGGTACATCAGTATGTAGCCAAATTAGATAAAATAGTTTCAATTTTGGCATCTACAATTAACAAGTTCGATGAATCTTTGTACAAAAATGTTTCGAAAAAAAATGAACATGTTAAATTAATCTTGGAACATATAAATGATTCTGAAAATGAATTACAATATCTAATGGATAAAAATCAAAATAATTCTTGGCATTTAGCAGCAAAAAATTTGAATGAAATTATTGATTTTATAACTAATACGAAGTATTTACCAAGATATACACCATCAAAAATCGAATCTATTTCAACAGGTTATTATGCTATGAAATTATCGAAGCGGTATCTTAACAATTCTGTCGATCATTTGAAAATTTATGAACATCAATCTATTGAAAATTGTATTAAAGTTGTTGGTATTAATTCAAGATTTGTTTCCGGTATAAAGCATTGTTCGATATTTAAATTTTATCCAGGAAAATCTGAAGATACAAAATTTTATTGTTCTTGTAAAAGTGGTACACGAACAACGAATCCATGTGCACATGCTTTATGTGTCTTGATGTTAATTCAATCCATTCAAAACGAATTGTCTGATCTCAAATTAGCAACAACCAATATTGATTATCGTGATGCAATTAAAAACGTACGTTCCTCATCACATTATCAAGCTATTTATAATACTATTATGGACTGTAAAATTTATAAAGAATGGTCAAAGTTTAATGATACATACTGTATTTGTAATGAATCTTATCAAGGAGATTGGATGGCAAAATGTTGTACTTGTCATGAATTATACCATCCTAGTTGTATTGGTCAAAATCAAGAAGAAATTGAAGTAAATATCGATAAGTGAAAATGTCCATATTGCCAAGAAGATGATGATAACAAATAATGAAAAAATGGTTCTTATTTTAGTCTTCTAATGATGTAAATTATTATTTAGGATTTATCGTAATTTGATTAGAACATCCTTTTGAAAACAAAATAAAATAAAGA